CATTTTCCAAGCAAAAATATTGACAACTTTTTTCACCATCTTTTCAAGGATATTTGTAAATCGAACAGCTTTGGAAGGTAGAGATAGTGTCTTTCTTTTGGGCAGAGAGCAGGTTTGTTCCTTGAGAGAGCAGGAACACAATAATAAAGATAATATCTACCTTCAGAGCAATGATTGGACAGGTTTGCTGGCAGCCCCTTTAAGGATTAGCAGTTCATAAACTCCAGATGTGAGAAAAGTCCTCTGTGTAAATAAGCATTCACCTGAATCTCTCTGTATCACCCTGGTGGGACTTGGAGGGACAGGGGAAACCCATGTGAACATAGAGCTCATTCTATCTGTTGTGCATGAGAAACAGTCATTTCTTTCTGATCCCAGAATCTTGTGTATTTTACCAGCATCTATGAAACTGTGGTAGGCTAATTTTTTAGCTTTCAGGTCTGGTAAAATTTCACTCTTCACAGTTCTTGATAAAGGGTCTTATCCTACAGATGATAGGTTGAAAGTTGGAAGCAGCCTGGGTCTCAGCTCCTACCTGCAAAGCCACTTTACATATATTTGAACCCATATCTTAACTAATACAGAATTTATTTCTTCCTACTGCCATATTGTACGGACAGGCATCCCCGAAGACATTGCAGGTTTGATTCCAGACCACCACAATAAAGTATATATTGCAATAAAGGGAGTCACATGGAGTTTTTCATTTCCCAGTGCATATAAAAGTTATGTTTACACTATATCATAGTTTATTGTGTGCAATAGCATTATTTTTTTAAAAACAATCTACATACCTTAATTTAAAAAATACTTTATTGCCAAAAAGTGCTAACCATCATCTGACAATGCAGGATTACCATAAAACTTTGATTTGTTAAAAAAAGAAAAAGGAAATACCTGCAAAACTCAATAAGGTGAAGCACAATCAAATGCAATAAATGCATAAATCATGCATAATAAAATGAAATATACCTGTACTAGAATATAAACTACATGGTGCTGAGATGGGCACCTGGCAACTAGATCTCAAAACAGAAAGACCTTGTTGCTAAACTTTATATAAAACTTTTCTGTAGGCTGAATAAACACATAAGTTAATGAAAGGGATAGGGAAGACTCATTCATTCTCAGCAAAATTCTAGAAGAGTTTACTTAAGTCAGGGGTATTTCTGACCTCCTGCCAATTTTTGGCATGCAAGGAGGGATGGATGTTCAATCTGACCTATGATAGTGATGTCTCCTAAGTATGTTATTTTTCTGCCCTTTTCTCATTGCTCTGAATGAAATTCCAGCTCCATAGCATGGCATACAATCCCCTTCATTCTCAGTCTAACCTTTTCATCCTACCAACCATATCTCTTCTTCCCCTCCTTCACTATCACCCGTTCCACCAATATGACATACTTGCCACTCTATCCCCAGCTATGACCTTTCATGTCCCTTGTCTTTACACATAATGCTTTCCCTGTATGTAATGCTTTTCCCTATTTCTTCATCTTACAAATTTCTACTCATCTTTCAACTCTAAGTTAAAATATCATGTTTCCTTTCTTGCCATGAAACTGTCAGCTGTCACTTCTTATGTTGTCAGTGCATTTACTTCTAGTATCAGATCCTTCTCTGCTCTTCATATTCTCAACATCTAATTTGTCATTGTAGTAAAACAAAACAGAGAATCAGTCTAAACTATGATTAAATAGATTGTAAGAGGAGATCTGAGAAGATAACCTTGGATAATTGTCCATGAATTTTTGTGTGTACATTGCAACATTTATTCTAGCTGCAATATATTTTCAAGTATTGAAATGCACCTGTTGGTTTTAATAATTACCCCACAAATCAGCCCCAAAATACACTATTATCTATTCTATACAATTATAATTTTCTCATTTCTTTTGCAAAGCTTTTTTTGAGGAAAAAATTGTAGTGTATTTATTATTTTCAACCGCTTTTGCTCTAGTATTAATAATTTATATTACATTATCAGAATTATAATAATTTCAGTGTTAATCTGTAGACTATATAATAGGAAGAACATTAAAAGGGACATTTACCAAATGAAATAAAACCCTGATAACCTAGCTTAGGCTTTAGTAAATAATTTATAAAATAACAGCTATGATGTATCAAACATTTATTTTACAAAAAAAACTGTCAGATATTATATCATTTTTATAGAGGTGTTACATAAATTTCTTTTGTATAAACCCATGTGTTATTGAGTTTTATTAGGAGAGGTTTCACACAAAAGGCAGAGAGATTGAATAAATAGTGGTTTATAATATATATATATATATATATATATAATTATATTAAGAAGTCAATGATGTTGTAACTTGTGAAATTTAAGATACATTTTCTTTTCAAATACAAGGCTATGCTAATAGGCTCTATATTTGACTTCTATAATGTGAACAATATGTTTAATTATCATTATTTTTATACACATTTAACTATATATTTGTATATGTTAGCATTCTTTAATAATTTCAAAAAAGTGTGATAAAATATTGTATAGAATTATTTTAGTATCAGCAATGCTGGGTCCAGATAAAGCAACAGTATAATTTGTCACTATAATGTATATGAATAAACACAGTAGCTTGAAGTCAACCATTGCATTAAAACAATAAAAAATAAGGGCTTCCCAGGTGGAGCAGTGGTTGAGAGTCCGCCTGCCGATGCAGGGGACGCGGGTTCGTGCCCCAGTCCGGGAGGATCCCACGTGCCGCGGAGCGGCTGGGCCCGTGAGCCATGGCCGCTGAGCCTGCGCGTCCGGAGCCTGTGCTCCGCAACGGGAGAGGCCACAGCAGTGGGAGGCCTGCATACAGCAAAAAAAAAAAAAAAAAAAAAAAGAAAAGAAAATAAAAAGGGGAATACTTTTCTTATATGTAAACTATGTACCAGGGACTGTGCTAGGTGCCCTTCATGAAGATACTTAACCAATAAATAAAATCTCTGCAAAAAGTTATTTTGCTAAGTTTTAATAACAATATCTCAATATTATAGCATACTTCTTTTGAGTTAGATCTTCAATTTAAATGAAACACAAATAAAGTTCAGATTTTGCAAAGCATGAAAAAGTTTTTAGGATGATAAAAACTTCCGAGTGAATAATCATTTCACTTCTGGGTGACTTTGCAAGCTAAATTGTCCAATACTTGTCCTTTAAATTGCTCCTATTGGTTAATTTCAGCATATTGCAAGACTGAGAGCCAGCAGACAACTTGTGAGTAATCATGCAAAGAGGCATTACATCCATAATGGGAACACTTGGGCAATCAAAAGTATTTTTTCATGGCAGGCATTGAGAGAAACAAAAACATCTTAAAAATATCTCCAGGATTTGAAGTCAGTTTAAACATCATATTTTAGACTTACTGAAGAATATTAGAGGAGTAATTTTTAAATCTAAGGCCTAAACTATTTTATATACTAAGTAATAATGTCTTCCTATGCATTTACTTAGTTAGAATTAAGTCTGTTTACCAATATATTAAGCATAATGTCCACTAGTAAAGCAAAAATTTTGTGACATCTAATCTTATTAAACCATAAACAAGTTATAACATTCCTCTACTCAAAATCCTCCCATGGCTTCCTGTTTCACTTAGGGAAAATGTCTACATTTGCTTTAGACATTAGACAAACATCTAAACACCTGTGTGAGGCCTACCCTTTACCCTCACCTATCATCTCCTCTGCTACCCCGCCCACTATCTCTGCTGTTGCTGTTCTGGCTTCCTTCCTGACCCTGGAACTTTGCACTAACCTGTTCAATCGACCTCAAATCTTCTCCCCCAGAGAAATTCCTGAACTCACCTCCAAACACTACCATCTTCTTCAAGTTTTGGGGCAAGCATCACCTTCTCAATGAGAACTTTTTTGATCATATATTTAACTTTGTAACTACAACTCCCACTCCCACCATTTGCACTCCTGACTCCACTTCCCTGCTCTATGTGACTACAGCCCTTAGTAGTATATAATACATGTGTTTACTGTGTGTATTGTGTCTATATCACTCCTAGTAGAATTGAGTGCAAGGAATTGTTTAATGTTTTGTTCATGGTTATATTCACAAAATTTGGGATGGTGTGTGACATATACTAGGCATTCAAAGTTATGTGTTGAATAAATGAGTGAATAAATAAATTCAACTCTGTACCTTTCTGTGATACAATCTTCATGGCTATTATTAAATAAGCAAGAATGTTTTTACTAGGAATAGATAATGTATGTCTACTTTTGTATTCTATGAATGTATTTTAAGTATCATGTGTGCTGTAATATTTCTTTTCCTGGGTTCCTATCATACTTCTCAGTAATGAAATAGCAAAATAAATGTATCAAGTAAATTTCAGCAGTATTCAATCAGGCTAATATCATTGTACGATTGTTTCCTATAAAGTTTTGTCTATCCAGATAACACATTAGCTATAGTATAGGCACTGATTAAGAAAGCTAGTGTTATGACAGTATGTGTTTAAATTATTCCATTTATTTAGTGTTCTAAACTGTGAATACAGAACACAAGAAGTAGGCATGATTTACCTACTGGCAAAATCATTAGCAAAATCAATTGCTGAACAACAAGTAAGATAATCGATTTTCTTCTGATTATGCTCATTTTCAAGAAAAATTGAAGATAAATATATCTTATTTTAAAATAGGCATTCCTCAATATTTATTAAAATAATGTATCAGATGATTTAATTATTTACACAAAAATAGTTTTAATCTAACATTCTAGAAATAGAGGTTAGAAAATTATCATTTTAATTTCATCTAGTATATAGCTTATTAAAATCATGGGATTCAGGTATATTTAATTAGTTATAATGTTCCTTTAACAAAAATTTCCATGTGAAGTAATATATCTTTAACACATTTGAGGACCATGCTGTGATTGAAAATTTATTTGTAAAGAAATTTTCTTTTTCTTCATTTGGTCATACAGACTGTAATACTAAATCATGTTTGCCCAATTGTGTTTTTAGGTTGTATTCAGTTGGAGGTCGTGATGGAAGTTCCTGTTTGAGTTCAATGGAATATTATGATCCTCACACAAATAAGTGGAACATGTGTGCTCCAATGTGTAAACGAAGAGGGGGTGTTGGAGTGGCCACATGTGATGGTTTTCTTTATGCAGTAGGAGGTCATGATGCTCCTGCTTCAAACCACTGTTCTCGGCTGCTAGATTATGTAGAAAGGTAAGATCCCAAGGCACAGTTATAGTGAAAGAAAGAATGCAAATTACATTGATACCTAATGCAAGCAATTATAAAATCTGCATAATTTAGTAAAGTAAATTCAACTCCTAGAGCTGCTTTATTAGTCTCTCTCTTTCTCTCGCTCTTGCGTGTGCCCACGTGCACGCACACACACACACTTTATGCCTTACCTTATTTTTTATTTCCTCATCCTCCCTCCCTCCTTCCTTCTTTCCTTTTTCTGTTCTTTTCAACTAATATTTTTTAAAACCCTACAATTTATTTTCACATAATTCTAAAGTTATCTTTAAACTTCTCATTAATATGTTTTAAAAGGTCTATTAAAATACAGTTTTAGGGCTTCCCTGGTGGCGCAGTGCTTGAGAGTCCGCCTGCCGATGCAGGAGACGCGGGTTCGTGCCCCGTTTCGGGAGGATCCCACATGCCGCGGAGCGGCTGGGCCCGTGAGCCGTGGCCGCTGAGCCTGCGCGTCCGGAGCCTGTGCTCCGCAAATGGGAGAGGCCACAACAGTGAGAGGCCCGCATAACGCAAGGAAAAAAAAAAAAAAAAAATACAGTTTTAAATAATTTTTAAAATGAATGAATGTCTGTTAATTCTTTTTTTAAAAAAATGGATATTTTATTTATCTGTTCTATTCATCCTGTCTTATTTGTTCTACTACTGTCTTCAAATTCGTAAAGGTGAATTATGAACTTTGTTTTATGCCATACCTTTCTTAATGTAAGACAGGCTTACTAGAACTATATTGCCTATTATCCTGGTGTATAGAAGAAGTATAGATCCTCTTTTAATTCCTTCCTAAAAATGGCTGGTGCACAGAGACTGGAGTGAAAATTTACCTTGGCTTCAGTCTTGGTCCAACTATCCACACACTTCCTGGCATGGTTATGGCTGAATTCTCTTTAGTGGATGTGGATCTCTTAGCACTTTTATGTCATGTGAAGTAAAGATTAGAGAGTTAGAGAAACTTACAGTGATATTTTCTATTACATAAGGAAACATGCTGATACATGAGGAAGTGAGATTAAGAAATATTGAGGATAATTTTTTTTTATCACCTGTGATAGGATAAGTAATTCTACGTTAATGAATAACTTCAAAAGTTTTAGTGACTTAATACTATAATGCTCTTATTTTTCATGCTGTGTGTCCATGTGATATTATTACTCTAGTACCCAAAAGGACATAAAAGCTAAAATATGGACACCGCTGGTCTCCACGTCAGAAGGGAAAAGCCAGAGAATAGTACTACATTGTTTATGCATTCTTAAAGATTCAACCTTCAAGTAATATAATTCTCCTTTGTTGATACTTTGATGACAACTCAGTCACATGACCACAGAAAACTTCACAGTGTGGAAAGACAGTATCTGACCTTGTACCTGGAAGAGGAGCAGATGTCTGGAGGATCACACTGATGACCACAGCAATTTTCCTCTTAATATCAAGAAACCAAATCCTTTATATCCATGTTTGATAGTGGAATAGTCATTGGAAGAAAGGGGCTCTCTCTCATTTATGATAATTTATTCTTAGGATACGTGAACATTTTTACTGAGAATAAGGCCATTGGCAAGAGATAGCTTTTAGTGAACAGGCTCTGTTCAAACTTAAGCCACTTCTAGGATAAAATACAGAAATGTTTAACGATATTGCTACTCTGTGAAATGGACTACAGGTTTATGGCTATATATACATAGAGGATGGCATTAAGCTCACCACAGTTGTAATTCAATGTTCTCTTGTCCATTGAAATTAGGAACTATAGGTGCTATAGTGAGGACAGTGGTCAGAGTCCAAATTAATAAATGCATGCTTTTATAAACACAAACATGCAACCGTTTATTTAAAAAATACTGCTAATAGAATGACAGGTTATTCACATTTTCCTTTGCTAAATTCTTGGGAAACAATGACAAAGAAAATGAATATGATGAGGCTGCTACTTTTATGGCAAATATAAAAATGCCACTAATAAAATGATATTTCATACACATTATTTTCTAGGTTTACTCTCTAATGCATTAAAATGTTGTTTGTGAACAGAGGCATAAAGAATTCAGTCTAGGAATACATTTATGGTGCAATATTGTATTTAATTAGGCATAACTATTTTAAGTTATAGGAGTGCAGTGGGGATGAACAACTTAAGTAATGCAGAAGCACAGGATCCTTATCCGAGCTCATACCATATGTCAGATTAACAGCATTTCTTACAATTTCTATAAGATATGTTCTATATTGATGATTTTACATAATGGTACCCCTGTAGAATTACTTTGCATGTGTAATGTAAGGAATGTTTCTTAGTATATAATCATAGGCAAACAAATCATTAGGAATAGCCGGTAGTGTACAATATTATGTTTTATAGATAAATAAGTAGATAGACAAATGTTGTTATGTGACAATGATTTCTTATAGAAGTATAAAGGTATTATAAAGTAGCAAAGTACAGTTATATAGCATCTATCAAAAATTGTAAAGTCAGGCTTTCTTAAATGCAAGGAACACTGGTACTTCAAATCAAAACAGATAAGAAAGCAGAGACTGAGTAAGAACATGAAGTTTAGAATAGTTGCTGGAACAGTAAAAACTAATTTTGTAGCCAAGCCTCACCCTAGTGAGAGCATCTTGGTGGACAAAAGCAGTGTGCAAAAATGCAGTAAGTTTTAGCAGAATTTAGACCTAGAAGGTGCAATTCATTAGAAAAAGCACATTCATCTATTCACTTATTCAATAAATATTGTTTTGTGTGTGCTTTCACTGTACTAAATAGACCTTAAAAGGTATTAGAAAAAAAGAGATAAAGAAATAAATAATTAGAACTTTGAGATCACAAAGCTGGAAATCACGCAATGGATCAGAAAATATGCTCAAAGCCATCAGTACCACTGCTGGCTAATAAGAGATCAGGACCACCTTTGCCCTTGAATCTACATCCCAGTAATGAGACCTGATAGGAAAGGGGTGTCAACATTAAAGGAACCTCCTAAACCTGCCTTTGTAATATCCACTCTTGCTTCCTCCAATCTTTTCCCCTTACAGTAGCCAGAGGAAACTTTTCATAATGCAGATTTGACCTGAAAGTGCAATGGAGTTTTCCTTTGTACGAATTATCAACATAATGAAAAAATTATTTTACATCAATTTTTCCACTAAACTAGATTCTATGTGCTGGCCAAGATTGTCTTATCTATGCCTATACTCCTCCACTTGGCTCAATTCCTGGCACTGAGTAAGCACTTAACAAGCATTTATTAAATCAGTCAGACACCAAGGAAAAGAGGCATCAAATTTCTCACAAGGAAAACATTATGAGGTATACTGTAAACAGGTAGGTATGTAGATAAATAGATAGATAGATAGATAGATAGATAGATAGATAGATAGAGATTTTAAGAGGGATGATAGAGGGATGGATGAATGTTCGGATGGATGAATGTTCAGGTGGATTGAAGGAAAGATAGGTTTTAAAAGGGATAAATGGAGGGATGGATGGATGGATGAATGTTTGGATGGACTGATGGAAAAATATGTAGATAGATACTGATTTATTACTTCTCTATTTGCATGTGAACACCCATTTCCATCATCACTGGCTGAGGATTCATGATTTACATATGCTTTAGGCATATCTTCAATAAACAGAAAAATTTTGATTGAGACTAAAATATTAAGAAATTAATCATATATTTTGTTAAAAATTATATCATTATACCTTATAAACCAAACACTATTAACAATAATCACAATTTTGATATACAACTTATAATAAATATACTTTTTTTCAAACTCTACCAAAATCTACTCCAGTCATAACAGAAAAAGTCATCTAAAATAACAGTATTTAAATTATTATTGTAAGTATATGACTCTATTTTTATCATCTTTAGATCTTTGTTAAAAATGAAATAATTTAAGATATGCTGTCCGACATACAGGGATAACTACATTTTCTACTTTAATAATTCTTTTTAGATTACCATAAACATTAATATATAGAGCAAGCATGGAATTTTGGATTCTTTCATTTCTCTTAATTTCTCATTTTATCCTTTTGGTTTAGACATAATCCAAGAATTTCTGAACACTGAAGAGAGATGATAAAGGAGAGACTTACTTTTTATTTAAATTATGGATGCTATCCTAGGCCTTAAGTAGCACATCAATATATTAATTCACATTTTTTGATATGTGAGATCCTAAATTTTCTACAAAAATGTAATTGCTTGAATTGTTTAAAGTTAAAATGTTAGGTAGGCACTATTTTACTTTATAATAAATATTTCTTTTTATTCTTCTTAAGATCCTAGTGTTGGAACCAGCCAAATGAGTGCATCATGAAAATATTTTTTTTGCCTTTGTTTTTCTATTATTGTGCATGCATAATCTTTGCTACTTCTTTGATAACAAATTGTGTTCAAATTTCTGGTAGAAATATATACAACAGATGGAGATCCTATGACAATATACGTATATAAAGCCCTTGTTTTATAAGTAGATGCAAAAATTATTAACCTATACCATAACCATACTAATTTATATTTGTGATTATATTTGCCTCAGTAGCTTATAACACTAGCTTAGGCAAGTGTTATCTTTGAAGTGGTCAGCTGGACACAGGGAGTGACAGAGTAATCTGTTGTCCTGGGATATTCTGCCTGGAATGCTGACATCATGGTAATTTATCTGCAAGTTTTGGAGGAAGGAGAACAATCTGTGGAAGGTAGATGTACATGAAAAGATGAAACATGTGATGTCGTATGTAGATGGAAGGTTATCAACGCTGGTATCAAACTCTGAAATTCATTTTCACATTGAGAAAGGTATTTAAAAATACATAATTTTGCCTCACAGCACTAGTAAATTTTTCTATTATATGAGTAAAAAAAATAATTACATAAAGAATCTATTTCTAAAAAAAAATAGAATCTATTTCTCTTTAGTTTTGAACTGTTAAAGATATTTATTTTAAAAGTGAGTTTTTACTAGCATTAAGATCTTCTGTGTATGCTCCATGCTCTGTTGATTGACAATAGCTTAAATAATTTTTAAAACTTTAATTGGAAAGCTACACCTGAGAGGAGTCGGAGTTGCTTAGCTGGTCCTTGCTTTCTCTGGTTCTGTCATCAGCTCATCTCTCCTCCCCTCAACCTTGAAGAGTAGATGTAATGGAATATGACCTAATCAAAATAGAGTTTTTCATACACCTTCACAGAAAAGTTGAAATCAAATTAAAAATACGTAAATACAATTTAAAAATACGTTTGTATAAAACTGAACAAAAACTGTTGAAAGCAGGAGCAGAAATCTAGTTATATTGTCCATTAAACATAAGATAAATTATTATCTTCTAATTGTGGAAATAACAATACTTGAAAAAGTAATAGTACCTCAAAAATTTCAAGGGGGAGTTTCAATGAGAAACTAACTTTTGTTCTGTGGTTGTCATATGCCTTTGATAAGTTTTCATTTTACAGCCAATTTTAGCCACTATATACGGATGCATCTCTTTCCTGAAGGCTGTAAACTTTAATAGAGTCCCTGATGCAGAGCTCACATTCTGACCATGAAGGCCAAGGTGAGACATAGGAAAGGCAGACAGCCTAAATGCAAAAAGACAGCAGCCACCCCCCACCTGCTTTTTCTTTCCTTTCTTTCTTTTTATAAACAGGCAACCCGAGGCAAAAAAAGAATGCTTAGAACAAAATTTTGTCAAAAACGTGAACAGATAATGATAAAGTTTGCTGTTAGTAATTGTTTGGAAAGAGCTTATACAACTGTGGAACTTTCCCTAAGCTAAAAAATGCTGTTTATTTCATTTGGGGGGTAACAGTTATGTGTATCCCCAGGCTGAGAGGTAAATCCACGGAGTTCTAAATACAGAAAAATCAATTTAGATTCATTAATGTGAGAACAAGGATAACCATTACTGGGTGATTTTGAATTAGTGTGATTACTGCATAAATATCTGAGAGAGAGAGAGAGTGTGAGTATGTGTGTAGGAGGGGGTAGTTTGGACTCAGTTTTTCTTTTGGTTTGGTTTGATTTTCTAGTAATATATATGTTTAAATATCATCACCATTGCCAGATATCAATTAAAAGATTGTTATTAAATACATGAAATATGTTATCTACCACTGAAAACAGGTATATTTAATTCAAAGATTTGGATCTTCTAGGAGAATGCACTAAATTTTTAAACTTTTCTTCAGGAATTTTGTAAAATGTGAAAAGAATGATATCTATTTCGAAGTGTAGGATATTATTTTAAATGTGTACCTAGATAAGGGACATACTAGTGTTTTTTAGTTTTCCCTGAAGTATGAGTATATGAGAATATCTTCATTATATGAGCTTCACTTAAAATTTCAGAAGCCTTCAGAAATGCATTTATTATTCTTTAGTGAACTTAGTGTTAGCTTTTTTCTCAGTTCTTCTGCCTTTTTGCAAAGTGATAAAGTCTGCTATGCAGACAATAGTTGAAAAAAATCCTATAGAGCTGAATAATAATTACATGGGGACTAAAATAGGACTTCAGGAAAAGCTATTTAAGTGAAGTGATTGTGACAAAAGGCAGACTAGCTTCTATTGGAAAATGAATAAAATATAAAGAAAGTTCATGTTTCACTGATATTAAGAGTATTATACATTCTTCCTTTTAAAGTTATTTTTATGACAAAAATTTCCTGACAGAAAAGTAAACAACTCCCCGCATTCATTACCCAGATTCAACAACCATCACCAAATTGCTTCATCCATTCACCTTTACAGTATTTATTTTCCTGAAGTGTTTTAAAGTAATTCTTTACTTTAGCTCAAAACCTTTATGAATTCATCCCAGAAACAAACAATGGAAAATGATCAGAACTTTACATTTTTAGCATAATCACAACGTCATTATCACAACTAATAAAAATTTAAATAACATCTTATTTTAATCTGATACCCAGAATTAAAATTTCCAAAATGCCTTAAACATCTTTTAATAGTTGGTCTATAAATTGGGATCCAAGTAAGTTTCACTCACTTTATTTTGTTACATTTTAAAGTCACATTTAATTTAGAACAGCTACTTCTTCTTAGTAATTCATTTTATTACTGGGCTTTTTTTCCCTGAAAAATTGTCAGGTATTGTATAAAATGTTCCACTTTGTGGATTATACAAGATGATTCCTTGTGGTGTCTTTTCTTTTCTCATCTTTCCTTTTTTTTGTCCTCTGTTTTTATGTTTATATATTTCAAAATATTCATTGTAGAAATTTAAATATCTTAAAGATTTGATAGCATAGATTGCATATTTGCATTTGTGTCTATGTGTGCCTGTGTCTACTTGTGATGTTTTACACTTATTAACTATAGCATATAAAATTACTTTTTTATTTGCCTGACAGCCTATGCTTTAAGGTGGTCCTGATTTTCAGGCATTCAACCAATCTCTCATTTCACATATATCATCTTGATTGTCACAACTCCTCCAGACATGGTGTGTAAATGCATGTAATGTCCTGGGATAAATATTCTCTGCAAAATATAAACTCCAGATCCTTGGGGTCCTTCCAGTCATTTCTTTTGTAACAACCTTCTTTATTTTCAATAAACTGTATGTGGGTTTTTTGGCTTGTTTGTGTTTGTTTCTTTTTTTCGTTAAAATTTCATAACAAGATTGGAGTAGAAAAACAAACTAGGAATAAATTTGCTCTCATTCAGTCTTCTTTTATATTTCCTCTACTGGGCTCTTACTAGATGTTTTCTTATCTGAACCTGCAGTTGTAAGTTAAAGGCAGGGGCTTCCCTGGTGGCGCAGTGCTTGAGGGTCCGCCTGCCGATGCGGGAGACGCGGGTTCGTGCCCCGTTTCGGGAGGATCCCACATGCCGCGGAGCGGCTGGGCCCGTGAGCCATGGCCGCTGAGCCTGCGCGTCCGGAGCCTGTGCTCCGCAACCACAAAAAAAAAAAAAAAAAAAAAAAAAAAAAAAAAAAAGGCAAAGAGGTGGCTTAATCATTCCTTCTTATCTGAAGTAAAGCACACTCACCAAGGAATTCTTTGGTGTCTTACCACCCAACACATAAAATATCTGTATGTAATGTATGGTAATCAGACTCTCTGGAAATTTAATTATTTTTGGTTAAAATTCAATAATAATACTTGGACCCTCTGCTTCAATCTCTTGATTTACCAATCTCTCCCTTCCAGTGAATCTTGAGTAATAGTCACTAAAAGGTAGCTCTGTTCATGTTGTACTTATTTCCTCAAGTTTCAAAGGTTCCCTATTTTCCTATTGAGTAAGCACAAAATACTTTCTTATTCTGGGAATCAACCAATTCATGAGCTGATCAAAAACCACTTTTTTTTTTTTTTTTTGCAGTACGCAGGCCTCTCACCGCTGTGGCCTCTCCCGTTGCGGAGCACAGACTCCGGACGCACAGGCTCAGCGGCCATGGCTCACGGGCCCAGCCGCTCCGCAGCATGTGGGATCTTCCTGGACTGGGGCATGAACCCATGTCCCCTGCATCGGCAGGCGGACTCTCAACCACTCTGTCACCAGGGAAACCCAAAAACCACCTTTTAAAGCACTGCTTCTTCTCATACCCTTGAACCTGGCCACACTGCACACCTACTTTCCACAAAGCTGGCCATGCATTTTTATTAACACTTATGTTCCTTTGTAAAAATATCTCTTTCTTTCTAGCAAATTTAGGATAGATTTTCAGATCCGATTTAAAGGAGACTTCAAATGTGAAGTATTTCATAATTGTCCCAGATTTTTAACCATTACTTCTGTTTCGTGACCATAGCACTTTCTTGTACCTGTTTTAAAGAACCTCATTCTACTGTAGAACAGTAGTTATTTACATATCTGACTCCCTTGTTGAAAGAAATCATGATATTCATTTTTGTAAGATGACTCAGCATCCATCCAATTAAGAGTCTAGGTATGTTTTTTAAATACCTTAAAGTATAGAAAGCCAGACATTGTGGATATTGGTTCCTGAAAACGTGCTCAAATATTGAGTTTTTAGAAAAAAAAAAGTTAAGTTTTCTTTCCCATGGTTTTTTTTTTTTTTTTTTTTTTTT